TACTCCTTTTCCTATTTGGAACCAGTCTGTTGTTCCATGTCCAGTTCTAACTGTTGCTTCCTGACCTGCATACAGATTTCTCAAGAGGCAGGTCAGGTGGTCTGGTATTCCCATCTCTTTCAGAATTTTCCAGAGTTTGTTGTGGTCCACACAGTCGAAGGCTTTGGCATAGTTAATATAGCAGAAATAGATGTTTTTCTGGAACTCTCTTGCTTTTTCAATGAACCGGTGGATGTTGGCAATTTGATTGTATGTATTAACAATTATGCCAATCCAGAAAGTCATAACTCTGGACTCTTAGAAAAAATATTTTAAGATTGAGATTTGAGATTTAAGATATCCTGCCAGAATCGTACAATGGAAAGAATATGGAGCTTTGAAATCAGACTTGAGTTCCCATCATGGCTATAGCATATAACTAGATATGTCTCTCTCTAAACAGATTACCAAATCTTTTTTTGGCTTTAGTGTAATAAGCTACTGTTTATTGAGGCCTCACCATATGGCAAGCATTGGGTTAGGTGCATTTACCCATTATATGATTTAATATTTACAACATCCCTTTAAGTGGATATTATTATCCCCATTTTACAGATTACCCTGATGTTACAGAGCATCATTTTTTCCAGTTTGGCATATTTGGTAAGAGGTAAAGTCAGTGTGTGGGTCCAGGTAGGTCTGGGTCCAAAGCGCTTAATCATTAGTCCTTGAACCTCCCTGAAACTGGAGAATCTATAAAATAGGGTTAATACTATTTATCTTTTAGAAATATAAGATAAATGCTAGGCATAGGTTGGTATTTGGTGAATATTCCCTTTCTGTTACTACTCTAGGACAAGTTATAGTTTCATGAGGAAATCCCTAACTTTGCATGTATTTTTTCCCCCCATATCCAGATTTGTTACATAGCTCTACTCATAGCTTAACTTCAACACTGTGAAGTTTATCCTGTGTCCTGCTGGAAATCAGATATTTCATTACTGTGCTTAGACATGAATTTTGGAGTTAAATAAGCAGCAGTCCCAGCACTGCCACTTACTGCCTTGTGGTTTGGGGCAAGGCTCTTAACCTCTCTAAGGCTCTGTCATCATCTATAAAAGAATTTTATGAGTAAATGAGGTAGTACATGTAGAGGTGCTCATTTAATTATTGAAGTAAAAAGTACTAGTAAGCTAGGAGAAGCTATAGGAAGTGGAAGGTAGTTAGGAAACCTCAAATTTGGACCTGATATCTCGGGATTGTACCAGCTGACTTGGAGGAAGCCCAAAAACTTCTTTGGGAACTCTGAGAGGTGAGAGGATTCCATAGTAGGCAAAAAAGTTTTTTTTAAATGGCTACAAAGTGATTTATTAGAAAAAAAATTTTAATTGAAATATAGTTGATTTACAATGCTGTGTTAATTTCAGATGTACAGCACAACGATCCAGTTATATATATATATGTATTTTTTTTTCAGATTCTTTCCCTTACTACAAAAATTGGCTATACAATATTTTGTATTGTATAGCAGTAGGTCCTTGCTGGTTATCTCTTTTGGTGTGTATATGTTAATCCTAAACTCCTGATTTATCCCTCCCCCCTCCCCAGCTTTCCCCTTTGATAGCCATAAATTTGTTTTCTATATCTGTGGGTCTCTTTCTGTTTTGTAAATAATCTTTGCATGTATTTTTTCCCCCCATATCCAGATTTGTTACATAGCTCTACTCATAGCTTAACTTCAACACTGTGAAGTTTATCCTGTGTCCTGCTAGAAATCAGATATTCATTACTGTGCTGAGACATGAATTTTGGAGTTAAATAAGCAGCAGTCCTAGTACTGCCGCTTACTGCCTTGTGGTTTGGGGCAAGGCTCTTAACCTCTCTAAGGCTCTGTCATCATCTATAAAAGAATTTTTATGAGTAAATGAGGTAGTACATGTAGAGGTGCTCATTTAATTATTGAAGTAAAAAGTACTAGTAAGCTAGGAGAAGCTATAGGAAGTGGAAGGTAGTTAGGAAACCTCAAATTTGGACCTGATATCTCGGGATTGTACCAGCTGACTTGGAGGAAGCCCAAAAACTTCTTTGGGAACTCTGAGAGGTGAGAGGATTCCATAGTAGGCAAAAAAGTTTTTTTTTAAATGGCTACAAAGTGATTTATTAGAAAAAAATTTTAATTGAAATATAGTTGATTTACAATGCTGTGTTAATTTCAGATGTACAGCACAATGATCCTGTTATATATATATATATATATATATATATACA